AGAGGCACCTGGGGGAGGGAAGGGGTCTCTACACGTGGATTCCCGGGACCAAAGTGTGTGCCCCTGCCAAGCTTTTCATCGGTTCTAAGACACTCATCCCTGAAATGAGAATGTGTCTCACAGCACATGGAGCTGCACAGTCAGTGTCAGCCTAGGCTGAACCAAGTCCTTCCAGGGAATTGGGGTCAGCTTTTCCCACTGGCCTGGGGAATGACCACACCGAGGCCGTTTTATGAGAAAGTCTCAGCCTCTGGTTTTTCTGGACCATTGCTGGATGCAGGACTCAGACCACCAACTTGCCTGACTCAGTTCAGAGGAGCCATTTTTGCCCTTTCTGCACCCAATGCCAAGGTCGAGGAAGGCCATATTCGTTGCCACACTTTCTGTCTGGCAGATCCACATCTCATTATCCCAAACTCAGAACGAGCTGGCCCTCGGCAGCACGGCATATCTTTAAAGGAGTCTTGCGTTAGACTCCTCCTCCTGGGTATGTTTTCTTTCACAGCAGCACCTAAACTAATGGAATATCTTAAAATCAGTGGCATCTTAGATCTGGTGAAATTCAGGAGTTGTGTGACTCCAGGCAGATCAAATTAATCCTGCCTCAGACCTTCAGTTTTTTTCACTTGCCTCCCGCGCAAGGCTTATGTGAAAATGACAACACAAGAAGCATCGTATGGGTGTAGATTACCAGCAGAGAATTCTGTCCACTCTGAAGTGACCTTTGAAAGGGTCATCCTTTAAGGGGTGAATCGAGCCCCATCTCTTCCATGTTCCTGCATGGCTGTCTATACAGGCTCCTCTTGTGACCTCCTGGAGTTATGGAGACAGCTTTGGCCATGGTGCCATCGGCCTGGGGTCCACATCCCAGGTCTGCTATTTGCCAGCTGAGTGACTTTGGACAAACGTCTTGCACTGACCTGAGATCCAGCATCCTCATCTATAAGGGGACACGGCCCACCTTACAGAAATGATGCTAGGATCACAAGAAATAAAAGGAACAAAAGCATCTAGCCCACTACTCAGCACTAAGTAGGCATTTAGAAAATCCCTGATTGACTGTCTGGTTTTTTATTGCACTTTCCCAACAAGATTGCAAGCCCTTTAGTGTCAAAGACATCCTAAGACGCATATATTGAGTTTAGTTGCCTATAAATGACTGATCACAGTGCCCAGAAGAGCTTTGGGCCACCTCCCATTCTTCAAAGATGGAGGAACCAGTCCCATGACTCTAAGTGACTTAAAATTAACAAGTTCAATGGTCAGATCACAGCTCGGGGCATTCAGAGCCTACTCTGTCAAACTGTGAGGCCCTGAGGCTTCGTCACTTACCAGGTATAGACATTTTTAACCTCTATCCACATAGGTTTCCTAAAATGACTCATCTGGCTGGATGCTTGGCAAGTCCAGGCAGAGACTTAGCAACAGGGCTGTCAACAAGAGTTAGCTAACTACTCCAAATTAAAGTTAATTAGCCCCATGGTAGGAAACACTGTATTACACGGGGAAAGCCTCTTGCTCGCGTTCTCCCAGATAATTAATGCTTAGTGTGGGCTCTTTCAAACAGGTGAGGACGGGCAAGAGGCACTTCTAGAAGCCATGATTTCCTCTATGGGGTTGCCTGGAGGTAAAGCCAGGGCAGTGCTACTGAATGTCCAGAGGGCAGAATCTGTCTTCTCAAATCATCACTCCTTTACATCCTGTCTTGCGCCGGGTTAAGAACTCCAAACGCAGGCTCCCCAGCTAAGGTCATCTGCAGCTTACATGATGAGTCCAGTCTGCCCTTTCCATTACCTCTGGGGAGGGGGACTCTGGAAGGGAGGAGGAGCATGTTCTCCCTCTAACCCTGACCAAGAGGCTGCACACACAGTCTGGCAGGGGAGAGCCCTGGACAATTTTGGGTTCTAATTCTGGCTCCACCGCAAAATAGCTATGTAATGTTAGACTGGTCACTTAAGCTCTCTAAGTGTCCGTTTATTTATCTTCCCGATTGGGATAATAATACCATCCCTTTATTGAGAAGGCCAAATGAAAGGGTAAATGGAGCTGTGATGCTACATGCATAGGAAGAGATAGGTTCACCAGGCAGGACCCTAGGACCCCTGCCCATAAAGAAGCCAATTCTGGACTCCCGGGAGGTTATGATCTAAGTCACAAGTTGGTGCGGCTGTAAGGCTCTGCTGTGTAGCTAAGCCAGCCAGTGCGGAAGAAGGGAAAAGCCAACTATTAATACTGAGAGCCGAGCAGCCTTCCCTAAAGGAACCCACCATCCTGGCACCCACGGGTGCCAGGGCAGCTCAAGCCCCTCTGCCCAAAGGAGAAAGAGGACCGGGATTTGGCCAAGACTCCAGTGTTGTCCTGGAGAAATGCCAGAAGCCCAGCCCTGAGCTGGCCCTTGGAGGAGGTGTCGGGACTTGCTGGCCCAGGCCACCTGGGGTGGGCAATCTAGAATCGGATTCCCCATTGAGCCGGCTTTCAATTTAGACCTTGATCTTGAAGAGCCTCTTCATTCACTAAGAATTCACTTCAAGAGTCATACGGGTTTCTGACATAAAACACTCGGTCCTATGCCCATTTCTTTTCCAAAGCTCTCCCTTTGTCCTTGGCCTCTCAATATTAAACAGACACACACAATTTTTTCTACGAAGAACCAATGGTACCTACACCTCTACCTAATGCCCACTGACCTCGCAGAATCACAGGACACTCAGGGGCCTCGTCTAAACTCCTCATTCTCAGCTGACGAGCCTGAGACATGACATAAGGTCACCTGCCCAGGGTCCCATTAATAAGACAGGGCATCCCCAAGCTCCGCAGTCTAGACCGAAAGGCAAGAGACACCCCAGAACTGCAGATCCTAAACTCCTAATCAGAACGGCTGCCAGCGTATTTCTTCTGTTTCTTCAAAGTCAATTCATTCCTTTAGGACATAAGAGCATCTGCCTTTTAGGCTTTCGGACGACAACACTGACATGAGAAAACAGTTGCTTCAAAGAATAAAAGTGCCCAGTGGGCATCTCGGGAGTGGACATTTGAATGTTTTATTTGGATCCCTTGCACCAAGGGATGCCATGAGAGGTGCTGCACCAAACTATTAAAATGGAATGCTGCCTGACTTCTAGAAGCTTCTGACGTCCAGGCATGACGCTGGAGGCTCTGAAGGTCCATAGATAGAGACTTCTATCCAGAGAGAGGCCATCGTACTCCAAAGTGATAAGATTAACAGTCTTATTGACCTCACTAACGAAAAGGAAAGAGCTATTTTTTCTCAGTAAATTGCAAGTTATAACATATCCTGGGGAAGAGTTCTTTCCTATCACAGTGAGTTCTTTTCATAAATCCTGAGGACTCTCCCTGCCTCTGTCCCTTTCTGTGACTGTAGTTCGTTTGGACTGGGTCCACGTGGCCTTACACTGTTGTGGGTCTTGGCAGAGATGGTTTTCACGCTGTCAGGGTCCCAGATGACCAGGTCAGCATCAGATCCCACAGCAATGCGGCCTTTCCGGGGGTAAAGGTTGAACACTTTGGCTGCATTGGTGCTGGTCACGGCCACAAACTGGTTCTCGTCCATCTTCCCAGTGACCTGAGGAGGACAACACACACATGCACAACACGCACGCACACAACAAAAGCAGACTAAAAAGTTGAAGGGTGGAATACTACTTAGCCATAAAAAGGAACACACTTTTGATACACACAACAACTTGGATACTAAAGGCATCATACTGAGTGAAAAAAACAACCTCCAAAGGTCACATACTGTATGATTTCATTTATATAACATTGGCAAAATAACCAAGTTATAGAGATGGGCAGACCAGGGGTGAGACGGAGATTCTTCCAAGGGTTAGGGGTGGGTGTGACTATAAAGGGGCAGTAGGAGAGGGGTCTCTGTGGTGACGGAGGACATCTCTATCTTGATTGCAGTGATGGTTACATGGATCTACATATGACAAAATGGCACAGAACTATACACACACATTGCACCACTGTTGATCTCTGGGTTTGGATATCACACTCTAATTATGTACGATGTAACCATGGGGAAAACTGGGTGAAGGGTACACAAGACCTCTCTGTCCTATCTCTGCAAGTTCCTCTGGATCTATAATCATTTCAAAGTAAAAACTTTTAAAAAAAATTTGAAGGGGCTGCAGGGCCTCTTCAGGAAACAAACATCATTTGGCTTTTGTCCTCTTCAAAGATACAGGCACAGGGCTTCCCTGGTGGCGCAGTGGTTGAGAGTCCGCCTGCCGATGCAGGGGACACGGG